ACCCCATCACAAATATATTCATTTCGCATTTTGTATCTAAGTGTAAAGCAACTTATCCACCTAAGCATTCTCATCTTGACAGCATTTAACTTGGTTTTATGCTTCTCATTTAAAATCCAACATTTTGCACCATAGAGCATTGCAGGTTTAGGCGTCATCTTATGAAAATTTTCTTTTAGTCAAAGTGAAACTTTTCTATCACACAATGTCCCAATGCATTCTTCCACTTCGATCAACCAACTTGAATTCTACTAATAAAATCCCCATCTAAATCATCATCACTTTGAATAATAGACCTAAGCTATCTAAAGCGTTCACACCTTTAAAAATTTGATCATCCATAATTACAAGCTACTATTAATAAAATTACCTTCCATGTATTCAGTTTTAGTTCTACTCAAATGAAGGCCTTTAAACTCCAATTTAGACAAATAACTCAAGTTGTTCCTGAACTCTTTCTCTCGTCTTATCCACAAGAAAAATATCATCAGCGAAAAACATACACCAAGGTACATCCTCCAGTAAATGTCCAGTAAGAACATCCATAACTACAAAAAAAAAAATATATGGCCTTAAAGTTGATCCCTGATGTAATCTAGCTGAAATAAGAAAAAATATGTTCAATCCTCCTTTTTTTTTAACACAAGTAACAGCTCTAGTATAGATATCTTTAATGACTTGAATATAAGTCATCTCAACACCTTTCTTCTCTAGATCTCTCCAAAGGATTTCTCTGGCGCCTTAATGTAAGTTTCTTATAAATTAATAAAAATCATATGAAAATCCTCCTTATTCCCCTTTACTTCTCCATCAAACCTCTTAATAAATGTATATCATCCATAATAGAGCTGCTCGAATCCATAATGGAGCTGCTCGACATAAATCCAAACTGATTATGAGAAATATGTGTAATACATCTTAAACTATGTTCAATTACTCTCTCCTATAATTTTAAAGTATGACACATCAAATCAATTCCTCAACAATTTGCACACTCTTGTACATCCCCTTTATTCATAAAAATGAGGACCAAAATACTCTTCTTGCACTCACCAGACATATTTACAATTTTTAAAATAATATTAAAGAGTTTAGTAAGCCAAGAAACTTCTAATTCTTCTCAATATATCCATACTTAAATTGTGATATCATCAAGTCCTATATATTTTCCTCCCTTGGTTTTCTTTAAAGCCTCCTCGACTTACTTTTTACTAATGCGATGGTAAAAATGAAACATTTTATTATTATTAATGATATTAAGATCACTAAAGGTAATTGTATTTTTAGTATTGAAAATTTTATCAAAATGTTGAACTCACTTTTTGTTGAGGTCTAGTCATTTTTCCTTAGAAGCCTATGATTTAGCCATAGGACTTTTCTGACTTTTCTGACTATCCTAGAGAACTAGTGATCGAACCATACCCGATTAGAAATTCTAAACCCGTCTCTACTCTTCTTGGAGTGCCACATGTTTGGTTATAACCTATAGCACTTAGCAGGATGGAACCAAGCATGCGGGAGCTCAAGAGGAGTCCCCATAGGACTGTTTGGCCTTAAGGTTAGCCCTGGGTGGTGTTGTCTTGGTCAGTCCTGCACACACACACACTTAAACCCTTCACATACAACCTAAAACCCTTAACCAAAAATGCTTAGCTTGATCTCCTGCTCTTTTGGAAACTCATGTGGATGGTCCCCCAAAACCTTAGCCCTAGGATAGGGTTTGGCTAAGACCAACAACCAACACATGAAGGATCAACACATGAAGGATCAAAAATGAGGATCTCCCTTGGTCTCATGGCGCCATAAGGGTAATTTTGTGATTAACATCCCCATTGAGCCCATTCTACCCAAATACCCAATTTTGTCCTTTTACCCTCAAACTTTCCTAATATTACCAAATTTCCCCTGGAGCCATAAATTTTTAAAAATTTCTAAAATTCTCGAACTTTCTTCAAGTATCATCCCAAACTATTTCAAAACACTCAAATTACCCAAAACACCTCAAAATTTCCAAAATTTCCAAAACACCCCTAACTTCACCAAAATTACCAAAATGCCCCTCTTTGCCCAAAAATTTCCAAACCTCCCCAAAACCAATCTTAGACATCCATTGGGCCCAATTTCACCAAATTGACCTATTTTGACCAAAATCCAAATTTTACTCTAAATGCCTAAAGTCTCCAAATCCATCCCAATTCCCATCAAATTGATTTCAAACTTCCCCAATTTTAAATACAAATCAAATTTTATCATGTCTAATTCCAATTTGAACCAAATTCAAACCCAATTGAAT